AGTGTTAGTGTGTCTGAATTATGAATCCAAGGGTTCATGGTTCGCACTACTCCACACTTTGAGACTGTGGATGTTTTATAAGAGTAACAGTCAAATCCCACTATATGGTTGGATGAAAGTAGTCCTAAATTTGATAGCGAATGTTGTTGACCACCTGCCTTCCCTGCAATTCAAAATTAGAGACAATTACGTGCAGATATTTTTTATCTAGCTTTACACGAAACCCCTCCAAAAAACAAGCTTTCAGTTTTAACGAATAGTTATGATTGTGCATTTGAGAATGCTATAAAAATTCGCAATATGACAAACCTCTAAGTCAGATTTATATCTTCTTTTTTTATGTAAACAGATTTACAAACGATGCTTTTTACGTTCTAGTAAATTCCCCCTCCCCGTTGTCTCAGGGTTAAGATTGAGTGTTAAAACGTTAAAAGTCGGGGTTCGATTTTTTTATGGTAGATACAGCACAGATAGCCCATTTAAAATAACAGCGCAGATAGTCCAATGAGTTGCTTTGCATTAAAACAAGTAAATAAACCAAAAATAAAATATATTTAATTTTGTATCACATTTTTCCCGTGTGTAGGTTGGATCTTTAATAAGTACAACATACTTACTAGTATCTTGTAAGATAAACGTAACTTATCCAATTCCATAAATCTGGTTTAGTCTGAGAATGAGATGTTCATGTTTGCTGCCAAGTATTCAAAACTGAAAATATTATGCTTACCACTTTAAGCATTCATGATTGTATTAGTAATGTATATCGTTATTTTCTGAAAATATAGAATTATATGATACTACTTAAAAAAAAAAATAAATATTGGAAATTTGATTGGCAAATCCTCCATTTTTATATTCTTGACATGAAGACAAAATCCAGACCCTTACTCAGAACTTTCTTCTTATTTTCATTCAAAAGTTATAGCTAGAGATGGAGGTGCGAAATAATTGGAAGTCCTCATGTATGTGTTAATATCACAAACCAGTTGAAATAGGACGTTGGGAAAAGAAACGTTAACTGTGCATATAGTATGACACATAATATAATTAACTATTTGCCTTAATTTTCAACTCAGTGAAGCCAGATTTCTTTGTATAATGGCATGAGACAAATTTTAAAAAGATGCATTAATAATTTAGCTACGAGTGTGAGACAAAGCTTGAAAAACTGTTTTAACTCTTGAAACTGAATGATCTGATCTGAGAGACGAAGTTTAAAAACTGTGTGTTAATTTCTAAAACCTGATGATATACGAGTCTGATGAGACTGATAATATTTTTCAATAAATCTTTATTGGCCCCATACGGTTTCCCATTAAGAAGAATACAGAAGGCTGAGCACTTTATATTAAAACGGTTTTGGAGCCTCACCACGTCGTTACAGTTCATGTGACCACGTCCTGTCATGATCTATTTGACGACATTGCATCTCGAAAATAACTCTATAGCGTAGTTTCCATTGGAAAAGTCTCCATCGCAAAGCTGTCATGTCTGAACCACACCACTCCTCCTTATACATTTTCCATAATCCATCTGTTGTACGAGGACGACGGTTTCCCAGCGCCTGTTTCAACAGTCTGATTGCAGAGAAATATATCGGCGCTGCGTCTGACGAATTGACCAATATGTCTTCATATAGAATAGCATGGACACCCATTTAATTCTCATTTTTCTTTTGGGGTATGCGATGGTTGAATGGGAAATGTGACTGGAAGCTTTATTTTGGTGAACCTATATCCTATTGGTCTTGTTTCCAGACATAGATCGTTGTAGATTATATTGGGTACTGTTGTTTGGGACACGTGAACGGTTTTCCACTGACCTCTGTATTCATGGATTCTCACCTTTTACAGTGTGATGGATTTATTATTATATGTTTATTTTAATATCGATGTTTGCTTGAATTAAATTTATATTTACAAATATATATAACTGATACTGCAAAACTCCCGCCTATTCTCTAAAGTTGTAGAAGATTCTCGAATGTAAGAATCAACAATATAGGTGTGTATGTAAACTCGAGTGTAACGTGTTAGTATTGTTACGTAATCTGAATTTTCGAGAAACTCTCTACACGCCTATAAATAAAACCAACGGGACGCGCCAAAAAACAGTATCTATTATGGGTTGCTGTAATTGGTGTGCTATAAACTCTGTAAGCTATAACTGTGATTTACACTTATTAATCGAGAAACTTCAGATATTTGACCAGGAACATTTATAAATTTCGAACCTTACAAACCATTCG